CTCCAAGGAAAGAGGCAAAACTCCATTAAGCACATGGCAGTAAAAAGACAGTAAAATACAATAAAATACACAAGGTTACATTTATTACATAAAATACAGACATGCAACCAGTGGCGTACATACCAGGGTCGCAGGGGTCGCGGCTGCGACCGGGCCCGGCCCACCAGGGGGCCCGGCCGCCCCTGCAACCCGTTATGTAGCCAAAGGGCCAGCCTCTTTTCCTAGGGGGCCAGGAGGCGGCCACCTCAGGGCCCCCCGAGGCTGGCCCTGCTGACCCCGGCGGGCAGGCTGTCTGGGCGGGTGGCCGGCGCGCGAGGGAGCACTCACTGCTTCCTCTTCAGTTCCCTCGCGCACCGCACTGATGCCGGAGCCATCTTCCGGCTCCGGCATCAGTACGCGGCGCGCGAGGGAGCTGAAGAGGAAGCACTGAGTGTAAAGTGCTCCCTCGCGCGCCGGCCGGCCGCCCGCCCGCCCAGTGACCAGGAGCCCAGCAGCACCACTGGACCCCAGGGAATCCCCCCAGCACTCCAAAAGGTAAGGAGGCTGGGGGGATTAAATTTTAAAAAAAGTGTGTGTTAGTGTATGTGTGTGTGTGTGTGTGTGTGTGTTAGTGTATGTGTTAGTGTATGTGTGTGTTTGTGTTTGTGTGTTAGTGTATGTGTTAGTGTGTGTTAGTGTATGTATGTGTGTGTGTTAGTTAGTGTATGTATGTGTGTGTTAGTGTGTGTGTTTGTGTGTGTGTTAGTGTGTGTGTGTGTTAGTGTATGTGTTAGTGAGTGTGTCTGTGTGTGTGTCAGTGAGTGTGTCTGTTATTGGGTGTGTGTCTGATAGTGAGTGTGTTACTGTGTGTGTTACTGAGTGTGTTTAATGTCTGTTAGTGAGTGTGTGTTTGTCAGTGAAAGTGTATGTTTTGTAAGTGAGTGTGTATGTATGTCTGTCGCTGAGTGTGTCTCTGTCAGTAAATGTGTGTGTCTGTTAGCTAGTGTGTATGCGTCTGTTCGTGAGAGTGTGTGAGTGTGTGTCTTCAGCATTTACCTTTCTCCAGCGTCGGATTCCTCAGTGTCCGTCTCTCAGCTCTGAATGCACATGCGCGGCAAGAGGCGCGCGCGCATTTAAACCGCCCATAGGAAAGCATTACTCAATGCTTTCCTATGGACGTTCAGTGTCTTCTCACTGTGATTTTCACAGTGAGAATCGCGGAAGCTCCTCTAGCAGCTGTCAATGAGACAGCCACCAGAGGCTGGATTAACCCTCAGTGAAACATAGCCGTTTCTCTGAAATGGCTATGTTTTCAGCTGCAGGGTTAAAACTAGAGGGACCTGGCACCCAGACCACTTCATTGAGCTGATGTGATCTGGGTGTCTGTAGTGGTCCTTTAAGTGTGTGTGCATACCGTGGTCGCGGGGTCGCAGCCCTGCAACCCCTGCGACCAGGTGCCTGCCGCCATGTGTCGCGGCCCCCGACCCGCGCCGAGTAAGCGTGGGGGGGGGGGGCCCTGGATCAATTTTTGCACCGGGGCCCCATGGGTCATGTGTACGCCACTGCATGCAACATATCCCCAGATAGCTTAGGTCTGAGCGTACATTATTACTGAATGGCGCTCAGACCACACACATACAGTTCAATCGCCATGGAGCCAAAGTCTTTTATTACATGAATAGGCTCCATGGCATAGCTATCTGGGTTAAATGAGTTCATTCAGTAAATCCGAGAATCTACCGAACGCCAGGGCAGAAATACAGGAATAGACCTTTCTGCATAGGAAAATTAAAGTATTTAAATGCTGGTCCATAGTTAAAAGGCAGCAGGCAGGCAACCAGGCTCCTCCAATGCACAGTGGTGAGATTGGTCTCGTCACATCTCTCCCCTTTTCCAAACAGACTAACAGGGTATCTGACCTCCTGCCGGTCAGTGCCCTGATTAGTCCAGCAGTCCACCCACCCACAAAACAGAAACAGCAGTACAGCCCATCCCCAATAAATGGTTACTACACCTGAGTAAGGGAGAAACTTGTCCATGTCCAGGTGCCTCACCACAGCTGTTTGGGGGACTGGTAGGCTGCCTTGGTGGGTTGCTGAGTGGGCAGAGACCAGCAGTATTCTGCCCTGGTGCCAGCACTACCACGGAAGTAGCCTGGTGGGAGCCTGGTTGCTGGAGTGGGAGACCGACTGTCTCCCCTTTGGATACATAGCTGTGCTGCTGGAGGGGGAGACCGATCGTCTCCCCTTTGGACAAAGAACCATGCTGCTGTGGGGGAGACCGACTGTCTCCCCTTTGGCTAAACAGCCCTGTTGCTGGGGGACAGGACCGACCGTCCCTACCCCCTGTGGTTTAGGCACAGAGAATACAGTCCCATCTGCACCGGTGTGGGGCTTATCATCTCCCCTTGGTGGGCTAAGCTGTCGCTTACACACTTTCAGCCACTGGGGAAGGGAGACAGGGCTCTCCTCTCCCTGCAAGGGATACTGCCGCTGGGGAGGGGAGACGATGCTCTCCACTCCCTGAACTTCACTCTGCCGCTGGGGGAAGGAGACACTGCTCTCTATTCCCTGTAAATCACACTGCCGCTGGGGATCTGAGCCGACCGCCCAGCATACCTGTCGCTCACCCTGCCGCTGGGGAGGGAGGACGCAGCTCTCCTCTCCCTGCAAGGTACACTGCCGCTGGGGAGGGGAGACATGGCTCTCTATTCCCTGCAAATCAATCTGCCGCTGGGGAAAGGAGACTGGGCTCTCAGTTCCCTGCAGATCACACTGCTGCTGGGGAGAGGGGGTAGCAAGCTCCTCTCCCATACATACTTCCAGCCTCTGGGGATGGAGACCGACTGTCTCAGCTCCCAATACAGTTGCTGGGGAAAGGAGACTGGGCTCTCTATTCCCTGTAGGTCACACTGCCACTGGGGAATGGAGGTTGGGCTCCCAATTCCATGCATATCACACTGCCGCTGGGAAATGGAGACTGGGCTCCCAATTCCCTGCAGGACCGGTGGAGAGACCTCTGTCCCATCTCTACCGGCCACCTGGGGTTCTTCACAGTAACACTCTACAATATCAGCCCAGCTGAATGGGTCTGGATCTGGGTCTCCGCTTCCCTGCTGAGCCTTCTCACTGGAGTGGAACAAATTTTGGTAGCCCTGCTCCAGCTCCATCTCTCGGGTCACAAGGTGGGCCAGGTCTTGCTCAATCTCATGAAGGTCCTCTCAGTCATACCTGCTCTCCCTCCACTCAAAGAGATTGTGTAGCGCGCCCAAACTCAGGCTCTGCAAAAGTCTCCCATAACAAGCCAGGACCATCAAACTCGTCTCCCTTTGGATTGTCATGCTAGGCCACATCCTCCAGCCACATCTCCTGCCTTACCAGGAAGTTTTAGTTCTCTGAGATATATCGAAGAGGACAACTTCTGGAGTATATGAGCGAGCAGTAATATCAAGAGCTCTGACATGAGAAACCCTCTTGCAGGATATTAAACAGAGAAGCATGACTAGTTTCGCTGATAGTTGTTTCAGAGATAGTGAGGCATTAGTCGGCCAGGATTTGAAGAAGTTGAGTATGATAGAAACGTCCCATAAAACCGAATAACGCGGAAAAGGTGGACAAGCAAATCTTATTCCGCGGAGGAGTCTACACACCATAGGGTGTTGGCCTAACGGGGCTCCAACCAAACTTTGGGGTCCAGCAGATATAGAAGAATGGCAAAGGTTCATTGTGCGATAGGCCTAACCCTCATCGAAGAGTGAGGTGAGGATTTAGAGGGTCGAAGTCAGAGCCGATACGGGATCCATGTTTCATTCCAGGCATCAACCATGCCATCTGCTCCAAGTAGACTTATAAGCCTGTGCCAGATGCCCATGCGCCCTTGAGAAGACGGATAGTTGATTCCAAAACTCCCTTGATTGACCATGGTCCCCTGAAATCAGCCACACCATGAGCTGTAGAAGGTCTTGGAGAACCAGGTGATGGGACATTCTGCCTGGACCATGAAGGAGGCAGTCGAGCAATAGGGGAAGAAATGGTAAGTCGTAAGCCATAGTTCTTTGACAAAATTGTTCCCAAATAGGAGACCAGTGGCTGGAGTGTCTGGCTTGTTCAGAGCCATATTGACCAATTAGGTTACATTTTTTTTAAAGAATAGATTTGCCATGCTCTGTGGCCATCGCTGTACTGGCATTTCCAACTAGGCAAATTACCCTTGGAATCCAACCACGTATGGTGGCACGATCTAGTTCTCGGTCGTCTATGACCACTTCAAAAATCTTGGCTGCTGGGCCCAAAATATCCAGGACCTTATTCTGGCAGTTCCGTAAAGAGGAATTTAGACTCTTATTGGGTCTTCAACCCTTCTTTCCCAGGAATTTAATTATTTTTGGATCAACTGCAAGCGTCCTCGGGGACCGTAGGGCATTGGCATTCTACCCTCAATTTGTTTCTAGTCGCCATATCCAAAGGCTTGCATACTCGTGACGCTATATATCTGGCTATGTGGTCTGAGGAAGACCATTCAGCTAGCCGTGGGTGGTGTGGCTCATCAGGGTTGAACAGGAGTTCGCCATGGGAATCTAAACTTATCTGTGTCCCCTGAAGCCCCATGCTCAAAATCAATTTTAGTAGATTACACCAATAACAGTGTCCTGGGAAGGATCACACCCCTCGACTCCAAAGTCAGAACCAGGATCTGATGGATTTTCTGAATCGTCCATATAGGTCTCCTCCTCAATATCACTGAGATCTGACTCAGAATATAATTGGACTTTTGCCCTCTTCCATAACCTAGCCGATTTTGCCTGGTTAGTGGATCTTTCGTGCGGTGGCAGAATAGTTGCGCCATCTGTGACAGGAGTAATGCTGTCCATCTTAGACATTGAAGAGTATTTAGTCTTAGTGAGAGCTTTGCAGCAGGAATGAGGCTGCGCAGGAGTCTTTAAAGACAATGCCTGAGTAATGGTCGGCTGAGCTGATCTCTGTGTCTGTTGTTAGGCCTGAGCAAAAGTCTGTGACAGGGAGTCAGACATTACCCCCATAGCAGACATCAGGGCCATTCATGGCTTTCAACATTGACTTATCAATCAAAGCCTGAATTTCAGCAGGAGCATCAAAGTCAGCGGGGAATTCCGCTCCCTCTCCAGAGGTACCTGGAAATGTATCAACAGCAACCGGAATGGGTGCAATAGACCTAGAGGATGCTGAGGATACTTTGTCAGACTGCATTTCAATTAAGAACTGACATATTATAGTAAGTGTAAAACCTAAGAAAAAAAGGGTTGATTAACACAAATAGAGGATCTAGTGGAAAAGGGGGGGAAAATGTACACATAGTAGTTGAATACAAAATAAATTTATTCACAAACACCGGAGCCGTCTGACTGCCACTAAAACTAAATTCCAGCTCCGAGTCCCGGCCATTGGGGGCAGTATTAGCGACAAAACGCTAGGAAAATTCCAAGAAAATGGATCCCGCGAACAAAAATGTTGCTGCGAATGGCAAACACACACTAACAGTGTTCGTGGAAATGAACGCAAGTCCATTGAGCGTTCGTGGCGAAAAAATGAAATAGCTGTATGCATAGGGCACTAAGTACGTTCGCGGGAAAAAACTCTTGAACGTTCTAACTGAACGACACACGCGTGCCCGCGTTTTAATCCAGTGAATGGCGGTTGGAACAGTAAAAAGGCTCACGAAAAATGGTGCAAAAGCGCTGAAAAAGGAACAGCCCTATTTATAAAACTGGACTTTAAATAATTCAATATAAATCAAGAAACCAATAAGTATACAAATCAATATACCAATGTAGAAATGTAGAATTAAGTAATAGTATAATTAAATAAATCAACTGTATTATCAAATATTACATTTAAAAGATTTAAAAGATCCCACAGTTAAGAAAACCGTTGGGACCTGGTGTTACTTAACTGAGGGAGCAGCAAAGAAAGAGGGAAATCGATTACGCATCATCGCCTATTATGCTGGAGAGTGGAATCTGATTGGCTGTTCCTGAAGCTAGGAAGATATACCTCTCATGCTATTTATTGTTATCATACTGTTTGATTGTTATATTTTTCTTTGCTGCTGAGGGAAATAAAGAAACAGTGCAGCATAATAGGAGCCTATTAATAAAATTGACACTTTTATAAATTAACCTGGTAACACCCACCTTGACTTTCAAGCAGACAACAGGTCTTGTTACTCAGTGGAGCTAAGCTCAAGAGGAAAGAATTGCAGAGATCACATGCCTTGCAAACACTTCTTATCGAGCTGCATTAGGAAGTCTGTGATTGGACAGCCACAGCAAGTCTGGGCGGGGTTAGTAGGAGAAGGCTTGCTAAAGCTGCAGACAAGAGACATGTTTTTAGATAAACCTCTAATTAAAAAATACATAAATAAAAGCATGCATTCTGTCAATTGAGGTATATATACTAAATGGTGATTTTTATTTATTTTGGATTTGGGCAGTGGAGTGTTCCTTTAGTTTCTAGATTGTGCATTAGTTTTCAGTCAAATTGCAATTCGTCCAAATATAGGCAGATTGGCAGGGTGTCTGAATTCCACAACTCTGAATAAATATATAATAAAGAAATATACCTTTTTTTATTGCTCGTCCTCGTTTTCCCTCTATTTGTAGCCTAGATGGCTTACACCCTGCAAGACTTTCCTTCCGTTTTCTATCATGACTAATTTTATTTGCCTCAGTTTGATACAATTTAGTTTAGTTCAGCTGTGAGTAAACATAGTGAATTTTGGCTCAAAGGAAAGAAACAGCTGATTTTTGATTAATAGCCCTCAAATACTCAAACCCTATGGATCCTATCACAAATCCTTTACTTACACTCTAGTTATTGTCTGTACAAACCATAGACCTATACCCACCAGGTTCCTGGGTTGACAGAAATTGCTGATATCAGACTAACATTCGGGGGAGATGATCAGAAGAGCCAAATTATTGACGCGCTCCATATGTGTACACAGCCGAACGTCAGCACCAGACAGGTTTACTTTCCAGATAATAATGATGAACAATCTGTTTGTCTCAACTGTCTTCAAACAGATAATTTATTATTAAAAACTGATCTGTCATTGTATCAAGAATTATTATTTTTTTTTATGTATGTTTCATCGCTTCATGGTTTTATTGACCGTAAATCTCTTTCTGATTGCTTTACTGACCTTAAATCTCCTTTCTGATCCTGGTTATTCTGAGCAATGACAGGATGCAGTACGTCATCATTTTCCAGTAACACTGTGGACATTCAGTGGATGTTTGAAGGACTCCCAGTTCAAATATGAGGGAGTACAATATGTGGTTAATTTAAGGCTTTACTCGCTTCAGGGAATTTCACATTTACAGAGCTTTTACTCAAATTTGAATATCAAGTATTAATCTAAAATACCTACACTGGAAAATATTGTGACCTAAGATTTAATTTCCTGACAGTCCAAAGTTTAGTGAATAAGCTTCCTTGTGCATATTCTCTAAATATATATATATCTTGAAAAAGACCCTATAGGGGTCGAAACGTCAATTGATGATATTTCTACACATGTAATTCACATTTAAGAATAAAGCAAGTTATTTAAGAAGTCCTGTGAGTGCACCTTACTACAAAGTTGAATATATATATATATATATATATATATATTACATACAAAACACAAGATCCAGCGCACTCACCTATCCACTAAACAGCAACTTCAATGTTGATAGATTTTATTAGTTTTTTTAAAAACACCTAATCTAGGCAAAAATAATGGGTGTTTAGTTACATTATATGATCATACATTGCATAAGCCTGCCACAACGTCAATATACCCCATCCTTGGCAGGTCCTACACTAACAGCCTAATGTCTGCTCTTATGAGATTAACCTACTTGGGGAAAAAAATTCCATCTGGGGCTCTCTGCAGTACAAGGCTAAATAGGGCCCTGGGATGAAGCACCTGTGACAGGGAGGGGTGCAAAACCAAGGAGTTGGCTAGAGTCCCATATATATATATGAAACAGGGGAGGCTGCACTTACATGAACATGCATAAATGGGGTGCTGCTGGGGGCCAAATTATACAATACATACAATACACAAGATCTAGCACACTCACCTATCCACTAACCAGCAACTACAATGTTGACAGATTTTATTAGTTTTTTTTTTTTTTTTTAAACACCTAATCTAGGCAAAAATAATGAGGGTTTAGTTACATTCTATGATCATACATTGCATAAGTTTAGTTACATTAATGAATGTTTCATATATACAGTGGGACCTCGGTTTACAAACACCTCTGTTAACATAATTTTCGGTTTATAAATGAAAATAATGCCTCGGTTTACAACTTTTTTCCCCAATACAAAGCAAGTTTCCCCAGGATGCACTGCACCTAGGAGGTTTATAGCACCGCCCCCGCATGCTGGAGCCTGTGGGTAGCACGTGGCGTCGAGTGTGGAGGTGTTGGAGCGGCTTTTGCATCGAGTTTTGGAGCCATTCTGGAAATTGCAGTTGTTTTGGGACTTTTTGGTGCATTTCTCAAGCTATGGAAAGGTAGGGAGCTGAGCTTTGTCGTTTGCATGCCTTTTATTGTGTGTTCTGCATTGTGGATTGGTTTCCATGCCAGCTCATTTTGACTTTTTTTCTGGCCTCCAGAACGGATTACTTGGTTCTCAATGCATTCCTATGGGAAACCGCGTTTCGGTTTACAAATTTTTCGCAATAAGAAAGTTTTTTTTTTTTAATTGATGAAAGTTTGCACATTTATGGTTGGACCATAGGGAACTGAACCAATAATTTATCCGACTGATAAAATCAAGTTGTATTAAGGATATAGAATAGTATTGTTATTTTTTTAAAGTTTATTAAAAACCATAAATACTGCTGCTTGTATAATTCTCCACATATGACACACTACAGTTTAGTTTGCAGGGGTTCCCTGCTAAATATATACAGGCCTTTGCTGTTGTATCTGGGTATCTGAAGCATAAGATTAAGAAGTATGTTTTCCCCCTCAAAAAAAGATTTACATTTGCTTCTTCCACTGTTGATGAAGTCATTAGTACATTCCGTGACCCTTGGGTGTTAGGAGACCTGTACAGTCCCTATTGTAACGCACAGACCAGACAAGTATGTTCTGATTTGACATCAAATTCCAGGGTTAAAAAAAAGAAACTTTAAAAATTGTCAGTGCAGCCTGTTCTGACAGGAAGAAGAATAATAGATCTTTTGTATTTTATTTGGCATGTTAATGAACTTAATTTTAATGGATTTTATTATCTTTTAACAAATGCTCTTGAAAAACTTCTCCATTCTGTCCAGTAACTTATTTAGAATATTGGCTAGCTTTGATCAGTATTTTAAGACAGCACCACTTGCAAATAGCACATTGCCCTTTCAGCTGTTATAATAAATTAAAACAGAATACATGGCCAAATTAGATGTGGAGGCTTAAAAGTTATCATTATTATTATTAATTATTTTTTTTTTGCTTGCAAAATATGTGCCCTTGGAAGTGAATCTTAGTTTGTGAAGCAAGACAAGTTCAGTTTCTAAGAAATGCAGCAGCACAAACTGATACAGCGTGTTCTTTCCCAACACATCCAACAGTGCCAGCTCTAAACAAGCAAGAACCAAAGTAATCATTGTGGGAACGTTTCCAGATTTTATATTTGCTTTCAATAAGATCAGGTAAGAGCATGGCATTTTTTTCTTAAAGGAACACTATAGGTTCAGGAACACACATATATATTCCTGACGTTATATTGTTTAAAACACCATCTAGCCCTCCCGCCCCCTTTGTCCCCCTAAATATAGTAAAATATTACTTTTATTCCAGTCTGGTTCTGCTGGTTCTGCCCCTGATCTGTCTCCTCGGCTGACATCATCAGAACTGATGATCTGATACAATCACAATGCTTTCCCATAGGAAATAAATAAAGTTTTTTACTAATTAAAGCTTTTATATATGTGGTTACTACTAAAAGATTTATATTCATTTTATATTTGTTGATGTTTTATATTTAAAGCGCACATACCTATTTATCTAATCTGAGTTTATTACTCATTAAGTCGCTGATCCGTGTATGTAGCTGCTCTTTTGTTTAATATTTAAGTGTTCTTGCATAGCAAGACCAATTAATGTTATCTCACATATTATTCTTATCATAGCCAAATTTACCACCCTAACTCACATATTATTATTCTTATTATAGCCAAATTTACCACCCTAACTCCTCCCACAGTTTTTACACTACTTAGACCGTAATA